ATCGACGTTTCTAGCTCTCTATCTCTCTCCTTCTCTGTAAAAATCAATAATATATTAAAAAAAAAAAAAAAAAAAACTCTGAATGGACATTCAGACCAGGGAGTGAGCAAGAAATAAAAATGATTGCCAGCTAGACAGTCATTCTAAGGTGGACCTTTTAAGGCTGGAGGTTTCATCTAGTCATTTGAAATTTCATCTGAAATTCTAATAATGTCACCTTATTCAGGTTATCTGTCTCTACTTTGGCACTATAATCCTATATAAGAGAGAAGCATGGAAATTGACTGTAACTCTACGACACCCACCAGCCAATCAGGAGAGAGTATGCAAATTAATCCAACAAATATGGTGGGTTAATTTGTATACACAGGCACTGGGCAGAGAGCAGAGCGGGAGAGCCAGTGGAGAGTTGAGCAGCTTGGGGAACTTGGCTCCCCAACCTGCCAGACAGAGAGCAGAGAGGGAGAGCTGGCGGCTTGGAGGACTTGGCAGAGTGGGAGGCCGTGGGACAGAGACAGAGCAAGAAGGGAAAACCAAGAGTGCGAGGAGCACCAGGAATTCTGGAAATAGTTGTGGTGGCAGCCCCAGGACCGGAAGTGGGAGCCCAGAGAGCGGGGAGCACCAGGAATGCTGGGAACCATAGTTCTGGTGGCAGATGGATCTCCTAGACACTAGACAAAGTGAGCCTGGAGCCAGTTACTGTTGCGGTGGGGGATGGAGGGAAAACAAAGATGAGAGACTTAAGTAAAACATCAAACCAAACTGGGTTGGGGTCTCAGACAATTCGCTCATCTAATTGCAAAGACAGAGACTCCCAGATTGGAGAGGGCTCCCCTGAGGGCTCCCAGATTGGAGAGAGTGCAGATTGGGCTAAGGGGCCACCCCCCCACACACACACCCCGACTCCCCCCCCCCCCCCCCCCAGCACAAATCTTCATGCACTGGGCCCCTAGTATAAAAATAAAATCAAACACTTCTGAGATAGAAAAAATTCTGAACTTCAACTGAAGAGTACTATTTGAGGATAAAGAAAACCTTTCAACTTTTAAAACTTGCTTTTAGTTTGGGAATTACCTATTTTGGAAATTTAAATAATACCATTCTCACATTAAGATGAAAACATTTTGTAATATTTCTAAAACATGGACACTTTAACAACAAAGGGGAAACCACTTGATACTGTTTTCATTCAAGGATATCCCAACCTGTTTCTAATCTTGTTTTTCAAGATTACAATTATTTTCTTTAACTGCAGTTTTTAAAGAGCATTTAAGTATTTCCAGTTTATCTTTTTTTACCTTGCATGTTTCTTCTAAAACCAATAATACCATTTTTTCTTACGTTTCCTTATGATCTCTTTTTCAAAAGGGATCCTCAAAGATCTTAGTCACTCAAAATTAAAAAAAAAACAAAACAAAAAAAAAACTGGTCATTTCCTATTTATGTTAGTGCCCCACCAATGAAAAGAATGTTGTGCATAGAGGTATCTTAAAACCATTTGAGATGAGAGGGTCTTACTTTTCTTCACAATCAGCCTATTACTTTAACTGGCTCTCTTCTCCCAAAATGACATTTCAACCTCTTTGCAAGGGCAGGAATTATGAAGTATAAAAAGTTAGGCATTATACTGCCCAATGTTCTCCAGTTGCAAGACTGAGGGATGGCTTGTAGATGGGCAAACATTGATAGTTCCTGATAGCTTCTGCTGAAGAAAATATCCCCAAATATGCCTATCATTATGTCCAAAAAAAAGTAATTTTATGTTAAATACTACAAGTAAAAAAAATATGCAGACTTTTTCTTCTTCCTAAAAATCAAAGCCAATTTTCACAGCTAGTAAAATAATGGTGGGACAATATTAAGAAAATTTTAAGGGGGAAAAAGATACTGATAGCAGAGTGGAAATTAGCCAAAGGGTCTAGTCAAGAACAGTAAGGTGATAAAGTAATTGACTCAACAGCAATTATCCTTAACATACTGACGGCCTATGCCAATAGTTTGAGTTGTGTAAGAGTACCATAGATATAAAAGGATACCATATTTGCCATGGATTATCTGCCTTAATGGTGTTTAAAAATAAAGTAGAATGGAGAAAAATCAGTAGTCAGATCATAAGGCCTGAAAAAACATAAAGGATGAGGAGATCAGGATAAACGGTTGAGCCTTCACTGTATGCCAGCCATTGTTGGGGGTTAAACAAAAAAAGTTTTATTCCTAAGCCAAATTAACTAGCAATGGAACATTTTCTATAAAATTATTTCTTCCTACAACTTTAGTGGCCCCAGTCCCAGTTTTTCCTGGATAGTCTTTGTTTATTCCTATTGTCCCTCATAATAACAAAACCCTCTTTCACTCTGAAAAGTATCCCAGTTTGGACAATCATCATCTGGTCATTCTGCCCAACTCGACTGGTTTCTCCAAAACAATGAGTCATAATTTATTCCCAGAAAAGTTATAGGCATGAGAAACTTTCAGTTTTGAGGGGAAACATCATGAACTGATATTGAAGAGAGATGTTTCAAAGTACAAAATACCTGACTCCAGTTTGGTTATCAGTAATGTTTTCCGAGCCACACTGGAAAACCAGGTCATGGTAAGGTCTTTGTGGAGGCAGCTGAAGTAAGGTCGGTCATCTGAGGAGGGCAACAGTTACTACTCCAGGTTGGTGCTGAAGATTCTTCTATAAACACTGTAATCCTCCCAGTTAACATCTCAATTGTTTTGCTGCAAGAGCCAAACACCCTGAAAAAAGTTGGAGTGTTTCGGCTTAGGAAAAACACCTGCATAAAGAGCAGGTCTTGGCTGTAGCAGGAGTTCTTGGTTTAAGAGATCAACCAGAGGATCAAGTTCATAGAAAAGAGCCTCTCTCTGAAGCCTAAGATAGTCTGAAAAATCAATAGGTAATATAAGCTGTTGAGTTCTCATAAAATCTAAGATGAAACTAAATAAAACACCATCTCTGTCCACAAAAATCTGGCCACCATCCATCTTGAGTTTTTGGTCTCTGCCATCTAACATTCGTGTTAGCCGAGAGGTAGGAAACTGCTTTATGGTAGAAAATCTTGTTGTGAATCTCTTCCCTCCCACATTCAGAGTGACCAGTTCCTGACTGCTCATTCTCCCCTTGCCTCAGATTAGAGGCTACAAACCTCCCGCCACAAACTTAAGAACTTGAAAATCAAACTCTAACCATAAATGTTGCTAGCTATATATGATTAATACGTGGAAAGAGGAGAAAATAACAAAAAACAAAGACCAGGTAACTACTGTAAAGCAAATAGTGTATCCATAGTTGTGTTTGCAAATTTGAGTTGCTTGGGAACTTACAGTACACAAAATAAAAAAGCAACAGATGAGACACTGTGGACAGTTTATGAAAAAGTGATAATATTTAAGGATAGGTGTCAAATAGACCCCTTTCCTGTAATCCATAAAAAATTCTCCATGAAAAGCTACTGTAAATTTCTATTTAAAAAAAAAAATACTAGGAGCAGAAAAGTACTCCTTCTCCCAGACTGTTTTTCCATCGAATCCTCATGGCAGTGGTTCAGATTTATAGAGAAACATTGTCATTTCTTATCACTATAGCAATTTCAATCACAAATGGCTAAGGATGAGACAGCCACTACCTCAACTAGCAAGTTAATTTGACTCTTCTCATAACTAAAATGATTCTTCTGTACTTTAAATTTCATTGCCATCTTTTTTTCCTATTCCCCTTGTATTACCTCTTCTAAACCAAATTAAAGGACTGGGGTAAAGACACTCTGAGCTTTCAAAGAAATGTCTTGTTCCATGACAGATGTAAGTTATTCTAGACAGAGTTCTAAGATAAGCTCACTCTTGTTTTCCTTGAATTCTTAACAAGGAAATTAAGTATTCTTTGAAAGATAGGGTATCTTTACCTCATGTGAACAGATTGGACAGCATTAATGTTTAATGATTACTTTGTACTTTATAGTAGCTGACAGATTGTCTTCTCTATTGTCAAGTCTTACTACTCTTAAATTCTTCAAGCAAGTGGTTTGCTTTGTTGTATGGTTGCCAGGATACTTTGGGACAACCCACACTTAGCTGTCAGTAAAAGGAGGATTTCCCATTTCCTGCTTTTACCATGTTACTTTTTTTAACCTATGCTTTCACTTGTACAGCCCCTAACACTTCTGTAGTTTATCACCAAACTCCTTTAGTGATAAATTTATAATACCTCAGGAGAAAAGGGCAAGCTAAAATCTCCACCCTCTTGCCGAAACCGGTTTGGCTCAGTGGTAGAGCTTCGGTCTGCGGACTGAAAGGTCCCAGGTTCGATTCAGGTCAGGGGCATGTACGTTGGTTGCGGGCAAATCCCCCATAGGGGGTGTGCAAGAGGCAGCTAGTCGATGTTTCTCTCTCATTGACATTTCTAGCTCTCTCTCTCCCTTCCTCTCTGTAAAAAAATCAAAAAATATATTTTAAAAAAGAATAAAAAATAAAATCTCCACCCTCTTAAAAATATCACTAGATATTTTTATCACTAGAAAATGCCACATTTTATTTGCACTTTATATGATTTACACTTTAGCAAAAAAGAAAGTCTACCCTTGGCAGAAAAATCTGGAAATCCAATCCACCTGTTTCTTTCCTTAAAAAAAAAAAAAAAAAAAAAAAGTTGCTTTACAAGAGTAGTCTTTATTAGGTACAATCACTATTACATTACCTCATCAATATAGTATTGATATTACACCATATGCTCTTTCACCTCTCCTTTTTACATAACATAAACACAATATTGGGAAGTAATGATACTTATTTCAAAAGCACTCTTTAAAAAGGAAGGAGGGTTCAGGACTATACAATTAAATTTCACTTTTATCTTTATGCTACCTAATTTGAAAGGCATATTTAAGTTATTACTTTTGAAGGAAAGTATCTGATTGGATCTTTGATCAAATCTGAACTACCACTTTGTTCTCTTACAAATATCTAACAAAAAACAGAGAACTATGCACTTAAAACAGATTTTATAGTAGTTTATATTTGCACATAAATTCTGCCACATTATTCAGCACCACCAAAGTAAAATTCTTGAATCTTTCACTGAAAATGAAAAACCCATCTGTCACCTGTTCCCAGTAAAAAACTGATTGTTCTATAAAATCAGGCGACTTAGTCAGATAGGAACTGAAATGTGAAAGATGGTCTTTCCAGGTTGAGAACTCATCAAATAAAGACCATTCTAGGAATATAGGACTGAAGAAAATGAAAAGGCCAAGCAGAATGACTACTACAAACTTATAAAAGCTCCAGGGAATCTTGCCAATGAGTATGCCAGTGTCTTGAGGCAAAGAAAGTTTATCCACATCTGCTAGTTTTATGTCTTCCCACTGACTGGTATCAAAGTTCTTCATTAAAGGGCTTGTGGGCAAATTAGAGGGAGGTAAAGGAGTTTCCTTGATTACTTTTATTTTTTCCCTGAATTCCTGCATCTGTTGCAAAAATATGATTGGTTCTGACACATCTTTGAAGGCCTCAGCGATGTTAAAGGCCATCCGTTGTTCCTGTAAGATGGTGTTGAGTTTGTTAATCTCTGGGTCATAGGCTTGCATAACTGCAAGTTTCATGGTCTCAAAGTCAGACAGGATTTCATTCTTCTTTTGATCTAATGTGTGTTGTAACTTCTCAAAAAACTCCTTCACTTTATCTGAGTCTTTAGTCAGTAACTGTAGAGATTTCCTTTTGTTAGTTTCCAAGGTATCCAAACGAGAAAGGGCGTCTCCCCGGCGCCAGGTCTGAAAGCTCTGGAAGAGGGACTCGAAGGCATCCCGCTCCTGCGCGTAGGCATCTTCGATAGAGCAGAAGACATGTCTGGCGTGGTCCCCACGTGTAGCACAGATCCCACAAATCAGCTGCATATCAGTCAGGCAGAAAATGTTGAGAGGCTGCCCCAAGTGTCCTTTGCACACTGGCATTTTTGGAGAGATCTTGATCTTGTTATACTTCTCCACAATACCCTTCAGGGAGTAGTTAACCTGCAGGCTATTGACTCCGGAGGCTGAAGTTTCCTTTCGGCATGTGGGGCACTTGAATGGAGATGACCTCCACAGTGAGTTCCGCCCAGTCCCCTCTAAGATCCCTTCTAGGCATTTTTTGCAGAAGTTATGAGAGCAAGGCAAAACTCGAGGATCATCAAACAGACTGCAACAGATTGGGCACGTGAGATCTTCTTCAAGCAGCTCCATCACATCCTACCATAGAGAAATAAACATTTTATTTCATTCCAGTAATCCCCTCCACTTGCACTATGTAATAATTAGAAGACACTATGTTCATATATATTAAAAATAACCTTTCACTGAAATAACAGGCAAACAAAGGAAATAAGAAATCTGGGAAGGGAATACACACCAAAGCAGATCTAATCTGCTGGAACGAGAACGCACTCCTTATTAGAAGGGCTCCCTGGACACAAGGCCTTTGTGTGGGCTTTCCAACAAGTCTTTGGCCGGGACAGGGTTAGGACTAGGACAACTGCAAGTTGAGCCAGCAGCACCCAAGTGATTGTTTTAAAACAGAGCTGACCACTGCTGTCAGAAACAAAGCTACTCAGTGTCTGAATAGAATGAGTTCTTTAGTCTGGGCCCACAATTATAAAAGGTGCTATTTAAAAGAAAGCAGCAGAGAAATATAAAGCCAAGCATGTATTCTCCTACAGACTTATTTTAAAACGACATTTTTGCCCTGCCAGTGTGGCTCAATGGTTGAGCATCAACCTATGAACCAGGAAGTCAAGGTTTGATTTCTGGTCAGGAAACATGCCCAGGCTGTGGGCTCGATCCCCAGGAGGCGGTTGTACAGGAGGCAGCCAATCAATGATTATCTCATCATTGATGTTTTTACCTCTCCCCATCCCTTCCTCTCTAAAGTCAGTAAAAAAATATAAAAATGGCATATTTCCTATTTCAAAGACAAAATTTACAATTATTAAAATGATAGGTAAAGACATAAAATGAGAGAGTTGCAATTCATTCTTCCTTAGAGAATTAAATGCATTTTTAAAATAGCAGAGCAGTAATCAAAGCCATCTTTTACTATCTAGAGCACCAGTTTTCAAAATGTGGTGGACAGAAACCTGGATATCACTAAGATTCTTTCAAGGCATCGTTAGGTCAATACTATTTTCATAATAATACTGAGATGTTACTTGCTTTTTGGCTCCGTGTTAACCACTGCACTGTAAAAGCAATGGTGACGCTGCTGGAAACTTAGCAGGAATCAAGGCAATACATAGTACCGAACTGTATACTGAGTCTGTCTTCCTCTCACCACCACATCAAAATGGGGGTATAGCCAGTTTCATTTAAGAATGTTCTTGATGAAGCAATAATAAGTATTCATTTTATTAAATCTTGATCCTTGTATGATAAAATAGGAAGTAAACACACAGCATTTCTGCCACATACCAGCAGATAATCGCCTGGAGGAAAACCGCTTATGTGACTGAGTTGCAAGCTGAAATGAACCAACTGTTTTTGTCATGAAACACCATTGTTACTTGAAAGAACAAGTAATAAAACTATAGCCATTTCAATTTAGTTATCAGGCAGATATCTTCTTGAAAATGAATAAAATGAGTTTATCACTTCAAGGGGAAAAAACAGTATTTCTTCCCAATGATAAAACTAAACCTTTGGAAAACATTGTCCTTTAAAAGCTTGGTAACTTCCCATTTATTAAAGACGTTTAGTGAGAAAAATGGTGATAATAACTATGGGAGTTTTTTTTAGTGGGAAGATTACTATATGATAAAATACGTTAAGATTTGCACAACACAGTGAACAAGTTCAATCACCAATGCATGTTATAAATTACACATGGGTAAAAAAACAAATATGTTAAAAAGTATATGATTTCAGACTCCATACTGCAACTTAACCTTTAAGAAACTATTGTTTGTTGATTTATGGTACAGTACCAAATATCCCCAATTATCAGAAAAGGCTATTAAAATATTCTTCCCCTCACCATCTACATATCTGTGCAAGGTCAGATTTTATTTTCTTTGTTTATTTCAGCCAAAAAAAAAAACAACTTACTACAGCAGAGGCAGATAAAAGCCTCCAGATGTTTTCTATTAAACTGTAATTCACCCAAGTGGTTCAATGGTTAAAGCATAGGCCTGCACCCCCGAGGATCAAGGTTCGATTCCCAGACAAAGGCACATACACTGGGTTGCAGGTTCCAGGTTCAACCCCTCCTTCCTGCTTGGAGCATGTGGGAGGCAATCAATTGATGTGTCTCTTACATTATTGTTTCTCTCTCTCCCTTCTCTCCCTTTCTTCCTCTTCCCCTTCCCCTCCCATCCACTCTCTAAAAATCAATAGAAAAAATATCCTTACTCTGGTAAGGAATAAAAAAAATAATAAACAGTAATTCATAAAAGAGATCTTCTTTTCCCAAATGCCACTCTTCTCAAAAATGTCTCAAAAAAGTTGTTTTTCACAAATTATTTGTTAACATGTAATAGATTTATCTTGTTATTTGAATTAGTATCTTAAATTTTTTTCATTTATAGTACAGTAAATATCTACTGTCCTGTATATATGTAAACAAAAGCTCAATGCAAAGCTTATTTTTATATGAATGTTTTAAAACTTCTATCCTAAAATTTTTAGAGCTATAAATGTCCTTTCAGTTGTAGTTAGGGATACACACACACACACACAATGTTACCACCAAAGTAATAAAAAACAGGGTCTAACATTCAGAAGGCCATCTTATAATAAATAAGTAAATAATTTTTAACAGTAATTTTAAGAGTCACAATTAGAATTACAATCCAGAAGATAAATAGTATTTAAAAGATAAGCTGAGCTTGAAGGGCTAATCAGTTTATGGTTTTATGTTAAGTTATGAAAGACATACTAATATACTAGTATGTAGAACTAAAGCAAAGATTATTCTGTCAAATTTAGTGTCTTATGGCAAATGTGTGATGAGCTGATTTTTCGGGAACTCTTATGAGACAAATCATACCACCTTTGAAAAGCATTGGGAAGAGAATAGCCATGAAGACTGTTGTGCTAGCTATAAAACACTGACTCTAGTCAAGAGGGAAAACTTGTATATCCTCTGATCCTAGTCCTGGTTCCTCACTTTATCACTTCTATTATCTTTCACCTATGAATTCTATGCTAAGGCTAGATTCTGGAGTAGGCAGTAAAAATAGGAAATTAGCAGGTTTTACTTATCCTTGCAAGGTTAATATTTCCAGTGGATCTTATTCAAGCATATTAAATAATGAAGGAAGGAAGGAAGGAAGGAAGGAAGGAAGGAAGGAAGGAAGGAAGGAAGGAAGGAAGGAAGGAAGGAAGGAAGGAAAGAAGGAAAGAAGGAAAAGGATGCATGGTTGGGATGAGGAGGAGAAAAAGAGCAATCATGGCAAAGAGAAACTTTGAAGAAAACGGAGAAGGATATTGCAATAGGAGCCAAAAGAAATTTTAAGGCAATTAAGTATGATGAAAGTAAAAAAGGAAAATGACACACAGAGGAAAATTTAGAAATAATAAACAGTCATTTCAAAGCCATAATCAACTTACAACTCTTAAAATGAACCAGAGAAAAAAAAATTACTCTTTGCAAAGTCCCTTTTTTTATAAATCGCATCAAAATTATGATAGACCCTATTATTCCATTTTTAATAATACAGCATACAAATTTTAGTTTATAATTTAAAGGGTCTTATTTTTGTTCACTTTAAATACTTTTACTTTCTCATCACTTAGTTTTATATTCAAAATTTTCTCTATGACAAAACTATGTTACCACTTCCATAGCTAACTCTTAGAGGAAACTGAGACATAATATTCTAATCCAAGAAACCATGGCAGAAAGTTTTAAATAAAATCCTGTCCGGTGTGGTTATTGGTTGGTGCGTGGTGCCATACACCAAAGGGTATATGAGGGAGGCAACCAATGGATGTTTCTCTCTTTCTCCCTCTCCCTCTCCCAACTTTCCTTCCGCCCTTCCTCTCTGAGTAAAAACTAAAGGTTTTAAATGAAAATATACAGTATGATTTTAGTCCCCACTACCTGAAGAGTATGCTTTACAGTAAAGGAATTTATAGAATTTTCTTAAATTTAGAATTTTCTAACACATAAAATCTGAAGAAATCAATAAAGCTTACCCCTTTGAAAAAACTAAAGTACATAGCTCCTCTTTTGGGGGCTAATTTTCCTAATAGAGAAGATAAGCTCTACTAACATCAAGAAACTATGTAAACAAAATTATTGTTCAGTCATAAATTTTGACTTAACCAATGTCAAATTAAGTGTATAAAGGCAACCAAGTTTCCCAAGACTCATTTCTTTTTTTTTACTATGTTTCTGGATATCAAAAGGTCTCAACTTTGAAGAACCAAAATCTGTTCTCCTAACAATTAAATATTTACCAAGTTTTGTTATTTTTTTAAATCCTCACCCAAGGACATGCTTATTGATTTTTAGAAAGAGGAAGGGAGAGAGGAAGAGGGGAGGGAGAAACATTAATCCCATAGCCAAATGCACCCCAACCAAAATATGTGTCTTGACTGGGAATTAAACCTGCAATCTTTTAGTGTACAGGACCAATCAACTGAGCCACACTGATCAGGGCAAAAATTTCCCAAGATTTTTAGCAACAACGAAAGTAAATGAATATGTACCTTGTTGTCTATTACCTCTTTGTCTTTCAACTATGTTTTTCTGATATATTTATAGTATAAATATACTTTTTCACTTATGTAAGTAAAATTCACTCTTTTACAAATACACAGTTGTATAACAACCACAGATTTAGTTTTAAGCAAATTTTCAAGGTATCGCCACTAAAGGAAAACTACATTAACAATTCTACCAGAAATGGTTATATAGATATAGCTTCAACAGTCTCTATTAAATATAAAACAAAATATTAAAAATGGAAAAGCTAATACTTACAAAGGAATGGAGCCATAAAATAGATATTAAAGCTAATCTGTGTGTGTTAAGACTTCTCCCTCTTACAAGTCCTTTGTTTTTAAAAATCAACCCAAAATCATTATAATGCAAAAGGTGTTCATTTAATCATTAAGCAAAAGTTAATTTTAATAAAAACCTATTTATTAAAAGAAAATTCCTATGAAACTTTCAAATTTCATTGGTTGATAGCAATATAAAGTTGTTCAAATATTACCCATGATTTCTTCCTAAATCCCATTAAGAA